TTAATTAATTAAAATTAGTCTAATTTCCAAAATTAATTTCTTCTGTATATTCTTCTGTATGAATATTAAAAATTGTTGATTGATATATTCTTTCAAACACATTTTTTTTTATTATTTATTTATTTAACTTTTTTTATTTTAATTACTTTTCAATTGAAATGCTACTGCGCATAAGATGGTTTAAGTAAATAAACTTAAAAATAAGCCTTAAAGCTAGTCAGACGATGTTGGGTTCAAATTTCAGTCATTAAATTGACGTCGTTTGTAGATGTGAATCCGAATCAAAATTAATGAAATATGATGACAAATCTTAAACTATTGAACGATGAAAGCTAAAGTATCTTCATTTGCTTGCACTGGCGCATTTGCATGAAGCTCCACAACCACAATTGCTCTGCTTCTCAGAGGCGCATTTACAACCTGAAAATGAGAAAAAATCAAAAACGTAAATAAAAATTTTAACGAAAATTTATATAAAAATAAAATTGATAAAAATACATATATAAATAGTAGCATAACTACGTAATTCTTGATAACACCGATAGACCCATTAACAATATTTTACAGATAACTTCAGTTCTTATCAGTTCAACTTACCGGTTCCACATGGGCAAGGCATATTGATGACGTTTTTTGTTTATTGTTTATTGTTTATTGAAATCTACTGGAAAAGCTTTCTCAGCTAAAGTTCTCTACTAATTTTGATAGTCGCGTTGAACTTTTGGGTTCTCACTGATCTATAATAAAAAATGTTTACAGTTTTATAAGCACAAAATTATGGAGACTTGATTTTAGAGATAAAAACTTTTGCACACGGCCCTCGTTTAATAAATTTAGGGTATATCTGTGTGCAGAGTGCAAAACGGGTGGTGTGCAACATAGGATGATAGTAATTCTAATCTATATATGTATGTACATATCTATGTATATTCCTATTAATATTAATTAATCTATTAGTGGAAAAATACCTATGACAGAATAATTAAATGGATTTTAATTATTATTGATAAATTATAATTTAATTTCTTCTGAATTTAGTATACTTTTTATATGGAAGTATAATATTATATTAATAGTATAATATTACATTAGTAAAAATAAAATGATTTTATTGAAGACTAGCTCGGAACAGTTATGAAATATAATTACCAATAATGTAAATTTACTATATCCTAAAATATATTTTAGAGGTTTGGTGAAAAGACTTATAGTAGAATATTTCCTTATTTTTGACCGTAACTATCAGGACTATCTCTCCAATACTATATGTGAAGTTATTTAATAAAATGTATTCTAATTTAATGTCTTTTATGGATAAATGATGAAATCTAATTGAATAATAACTTTTTTTAAATATTATTTTAATCATTTTTGCATTTCAATAGCATTTGAGTACATTGGTTAGGCAAATTGTTAAGTTAAAATGTTTTATTGATGTTTAAAAAGATCCAAAATACATATTTTTACAACTTTTAATATAACTTCCTTTGAATTATTTTTAAAATAAATTACAAACACAACTACAAGTATGATTTTTTATAATGTCATCAAAAATTAAGGTATTAAACCTTATCAGTGTAAATATAAACAATAAACCTCACAACAACAGAAAAGTAAACAATTTTGCACTCGGCCCACGAAACTAACAATGCACCGAGTGCAAAAGGTTTGAAAACTCCAATTCAAACGTTTGTAGGTCTATAAAATAACTGAAATATCTCCGAAACACATCAGTGCATATCAAGAAGTGCAATTCAAAGAAACTCCAAGAAGTTCTAAGGAAACTTAAAAAAATATCAAAAGCAATGCCTTGCCCATGCGGATCTGGTAAGAGATTTTCAATGAAATTATAATAAAATAAAATATGCATAAAATATTATATTATATTTTTTTATATTATATTTAATAATTATTTAATTTTCTTCTTCTTAGGTTGTAAATGCGCTACTGAGAAGCAAACCAACTGCGGTTGCGGTGACTCGTGCAAGTGCGCCACCAAGAAGTGAGATTTTTGCCTCATTTAAACGTGACCTATAAACTTAGAAGTCAAATGCAATATATCAAACAAATATATCATATCTATATTTTTAAAAATTTATAAAAAATTCAATAAAAATGACTGAAAGTTAAAATTTTGAATCTATTTTTAAAGAAAATTATTAAAAAAGTTCAGGTATGAGAAACCTATAAGTATTTCGGATGGTTATTAATATTATAGGGTTTTGAAAAGCGCGATTACTAAAACAATAATTTGCTTTTTAAAAAAAGCTATTATTATAAGGCAGTGAAATTAAAAAGAAAAAAATAAAAAAGAAATCTTAAAAATTTGAAGAGGTTATCTGTTTTGCATGGAAAGAACATGTGAATCGGATTAAGTTCAGTATAACTCATGGCATTAAAACTAATCTATGTATACTGATGTAGAGATGAAGATATTATGTGTTATATTAAATACTACGATTATTATTGGATTAAGATGTAATTAAATTGAAAAGATTACCAATGAAATGTTAGATGTCAATTGAATGTTAGAAATATGTAACATAAAGTTTGTACAATAAAATAATAATTAAGTTCTTCTAATTAATACTTCTAATTAATTAATTAATACTTCAAATCCAATTGAATATCTTAACCTATCCGTCTAATAATGTTATTACTTTATATTATATTAAGAATACGCTGAATTCAATGCAGTCAACACAAATTTCAATCAGTAGTCAACGATTAGGAAAAGTCAATGACTGCAGAATTAGTGATCGCAGTTGTAGAAATCCATATCTTCTAGGTATTGAAGTATGCTCTTAAATTCTGAATTGTATTATAAATGTCACTCGCGGATATTTTATTTATTTGTTTAATAAAGCGTTAGGTTTATGTGCCAGTTTTTAGGGAGAAATAAAAAGCCTGATGTATTCTTAGTAATTGTATACCTCCCTGATTTTTACTATACAAACATATTCTATAAACATTAATATTCTTTATCATAACTGCCAGAAATATAATAAATTAATATAAAATAGGACTGGCTCTCGCAGAACAGAATACTGTGATCGCGACTGATATTTTGTGTTAATTTTCGGCCCTAACTGAACAGAAGACAGTCTGCCTTTCGAATGCAAACTAAAATGTTAGCTCTTGAGGACATCTTAATTTCGGAAGAGTATAAGAGCTCCTGAACGAGCAGTCACCGGATCAAAGCCGGACAGTCTTATGACCTAACCAGCTATATGCTGAAAAGCGATCAAAAGTATTCAGTACTTTAGAAATTTTGTGGAAGACATTCGAATCAAACTGTATTTCACACAAATAGTAAAATTAAAACAATATAATGAAATTAAAATTTGATAAAAACTGTAATCCTAAGTGTGTTTTTTTTATGTTTAACGCTATAGTAATAATCATATACAGTCCACCGAATAAAAAAATTAACTCAATCCAACCTTGACTCAACATTAATGCGAGACTACTAAATTGATATTAAATCAAGAAATAAGAATAAACATGTATTAAATATAGTACAAATATTCAATATCTAAAATGGATCTTACATGTAGAAAAGTATTACTTTGCGTGTGTTAGATAATAGGTGATCCCTCATAAATATTAACTTTGGAGGTCTTCAAATATGAAATGAAACATCAAGAAATGTGATTTTCAATTTGATAACTACGAGTAAATGGTTTCGGATGTGTTATGCTTACCCAAATTACTCAGCAGTGGTGTATCTATGCTTCGGAGATAGATTCCTCTCTTACAAATATAAACTACAAATAATATACTGCAAAAATAATGGCTACCCTCTAACACAATCTTGTTACGCCACTGCTATTCAGATATGAGTTTTGATATTAATAAAAATATTTATAATGAGCAATATTTGGATTTCATAAATTGAATTACACTTTTATAGATTATGGTTAATCATCTTCATTATCAGCGAATAACATAAG